TTGTAACTGGAAGTTTATTTTGATTCATATTTCGATATTTCCACTCTTTTCCATACATCTCCTTCCCCCTCCGTATTCGACTCCATTTTTAACATATCCAAACTGATCAGAAGCCAAAAATATCACATGGTTTATAAGTATCGCATTTTGCTCAAAATTGTAGTGCTTGAAAGTTTCTTTTTGTTAAGCCTAAATCCGAAAGCATAAAATGGTACTATGTGTCTGTGCAAAAGTTATGTTGTTTACCGCTGAACAGTGATTAATGGATGTTTTTAAAGCTCTGTTTTTTTTCTTTTCTTTCAATAAAGATATCTTAATTGAAAAGTTATTTTATTCTTTACAGTTAGAGCCCGCTGAAGCAGCAATTGCTGGACGAGGTTTTCAAAACAAGGAATCTCTATTAGGTACCGGAATGAAACTCGAAGGCGTTAAATACTTTGTTTTACAAGCCGATGATGAACGAATTATTGGCAAAAAAGGCTCCAATGGGTTTTTTATATATAAAACTGGTCAAGGTGATTAATTGCAGCTTATCTGATAAGCAGTAAAATTGACAGTGACAAGTGTTTAAGCAATCTAAATAATTAGTTATTTTCTTTTCTTACATATTCATTTTTTTCGTCACGGATTTTTTACATTTAACGTTTCGTTGTTTTTCGACTTATTAATGTTATTCCAGACAAATCATATCAACTTCATTAAAAACTGTTGAGGAATTTCTATTTTTAGCAGTGATAATATCAATATATGAGGGCGGTGTGCAACCCGAAATGTGCAGTAAAACTACGGGTGCATTAGCTGACTACTTCAAAAGCATGAATTATTAATTTCTTTTTCAAGTAGGTTTCCATTTGTTTACTTGTTTTTTTTTCTGTCTTTGTAATTACTGAATTCTCTTATGTGTACTTTCTGTTAAAAATAGTGGTACTTGTTACATGAGTTTTTGTTACTTTTCAGTCAAAGTCTTATGCACATTTTTCTATTATGCATCTTTAAATGATTTGGATTCTGTGGCGGTGACTACTTGGAATTGTAAAAGAGACAATGGTTTCTTTGTTTTTGACCATTATAATTTGAGCTTAATACATTTGGTTCTTTATGGACTTTTGATGAGTTTCTCAAGCAAATCTTTATGAACTAAACTGCTGTTAGTTTCAGGTTTGAAGTGTGCCTTTCTCATGAAAAATAAAGCGGCTCCTGACCAGTTTGCCAGTGGAAGCATGGTCACTCAGATAACTGTCCTTTCAACACTATTTTTAAAAATTTCATTATTTTTTTGCTTTATCTGTCACCTGTTTTGAGTTATCCCTATTTTTTCCTAAGCAGTCAAAGAAACTGTTTAAAATTTTGCAAACGAAGGGGTGGATGAGAAAATTTTTATTTTGATTTGCAATTTTTTTCTCTTTTCTTTTGTTTTCCTTTTTTCCTTTTATTTTTTCCTTTTTTTGGAGAAGGTATATGTAAATTATGGATGGTTTAAACAAGACTAGTTCAAGTTGCTTCGCTTGTTTACATTGAACTTCCTGAATTACAGCTGTTTTCTCCTTGCTGTTTGGTATTCATCATTTTTCGCCTCACTTTTATTTGTTGTTGATAACGAATTACGCATAATTTGTGTAAAGTACCTGCCACATTAAAACCGAAAAACTTCTAGAAGGAATAATTTCACAAAGCAGCTTGATCCAACTTGTGCTCAATGTTTAGTGTTAGCTGTTTGTTTTCTTCCTTTTTGTTCCGAGTAAGATAAGAATCGCTCAAAAAAAAAAAAAAAAAAAAAAAAAAA